ATATTAATAGACTGTTAGGGTTTGAAAACGGTATGGAATAATTCATTATTCTTGCTAACACAAGAAAGAAAACCTTAGTCGTCATTCTTGTTCTCTGTGTGGATTACCGTTGGAGACTTGACAATTGGATATCTTGGATTGCGGATCGTAATTATTCGAGTTCAAGAAAAGCAAAGGAGTTTGCTGAATTCATCAAATGTATTATTCTAAACATAGTTTCCATCTAAACACAAAACAGATCCGTGGTAGGAATTGAAAAATAATTTATTTTTCGATGTGCATGTTAAGTAAATTCCCAACAACCGGTGTGTGAGAGAGATAAAGAAGAGAGACCTCTTTCCTTTTTTCACTAACTTTTTGATTCAGAAAAGCAAAACACCTATACTGACCTCTCTCACATCGCATCCTTCTTGCATCGCATCCTTCGTTCTCTACCTATCAGTTAAGTGGTAAGTTGGTACGGATGGAGCTTCAAGAAAATATTTGGGTTGGAGTTAAAAAAACAAATTTCAATGAATACACATCATAATAGATGTTTTAAATCACGTAGATCTAGTTTAAAATGTTAAACTCACGACACTCATGATAAATTAGGACTCTAACAAATACAATCTAATATGTTTTACTAGATTTTCGTAACTTTTGTTTCCAAATAGGAAATTGACGCTCTCCTTGAAACTATAAAGTGACAAACGTGATGAGCATGACAAAATGATATATTTCTACCAATCAACACTACTAAACTACCTATTGAAAACTCTTGTAAGACATAAGTCCCAATTTTTTTTTTTTTACTAGAGTCCATTCCAAATAATTGAAAGTTTTCACTGTAATACAATACAATTACACAAACGTTACATTTCTAAAAATACTATTTGAAGTGGACATCAATCTTCTATACTAACACATTTTAATCTCACCAAAAGTGGAAAAAATCAACAAGGAATATTGACAGACCAGAGAAATTGGATTTATTTTACGTTCATGTTTGATCCACTTTGATAATATACTTATATCAGATTATTTATAAATAAATAAATAAGTTTTTAACAAATATTATTTTTATGACAAAATTAAACGTAAAGAAAGTTACTTAGTTTGATAAAACATCTATTTCATGATCAAATAAGTAATTTTTTACTTATACTTATGAATAAGAATATATGAAGACATATATAAAAACAAAAATTACTTTAAGCTTAACCAAACCTGTAGCATTTCTTATTCTTAAAATGAGTCATTTACTTTTAACTTTAATCAATAAAAGCTATTAATTATAAAAAATTACTAAGTCAAATATGATGGAAATAAAATATCTAATTTGATAAAGATTTAATCAAATCATATGAATGTGAATTAAATGAATATGTAATTACTCTCGAGTCTTTAATTAAATTTGGACAATGGGACATTGGGCCAGGACTACAATTTGCAGGGCTAAAAAGGATTTTTGGCTGGACTTGAGCATTTTTGGGGACTCTTTGTTAAAGAGCCTAGCAAAGCAATGTTTTTTGATTAAGGAGTTGCCTGGTACAGATTTTCTGTTTTGGAAAATTGATTTTTGAGCCGTAAAAGTTGACCAGGTCTCACAAGCTATCAGGCCATTTATGTGAAATTGGGACTGTTGAAGCACTCAACGGTAAAAAAAATGCTTTTAATTCAAAATTTAATCACACCCAGACAAGCCCTAAATAGCCTCCTCTAGTTTTTCAATTTATCGAATGCAATACATTATATGGTTTAGTACTTTTTAGACCGATTATCTCATTTTGAAATTAAACTGTAATATACAATTTGTTAACATTCAATGATGGTGGCGGTGTTATGATGTATTGTTTTTGTAATTTTGAAATGAAAACTATTTAGAATGTTTAGAATGATTGATTTTATATAGTTTTCTTATAATGAACGATAAAGACATAACGATAGACAATCTTTTTTGTTATAGTAATACAAAATAGTTTCGTTTAGACTATTTCACACAAAAAATACAACAATGATGTTCAACAACTATATATTATTGATTTAGTATCAATTACTTTCAACATTATATATATTAATTGATTCAGACTTATAAATATGGGGAAATGGAGTCCTAAATCATGGAAATTATTCAAATTTCTGTTAAATTGTCTTGCAATCCTCACTTTTCTAACTTTACTAAACTACATTTTGGGTCTTAATTTGGATCGGTCCTTCAAAATTTAAATTGAGACATGTTTCCATGAAAGCTATATGTTAGGAAAGATTCGAACAATATTTGTGCAGGTCTAATTGTGCTACTATTATAAAAGATTACTGATCAATCTGTTCTTTTTTAAAGATTGGGAACCAATTGTTACTCAGTCAATAAGATGGGGACCAACGTGAACTTTTGTCCTCTTATTTTAACCCTAGAGCCCTACCTCTCTCTCTCTCAATTCTGTTCACACACAGGCGCACGCACTAAGAAGTTTTTAAAGACCCTAAAATGATTGAAATCTTTTTAATCGAACAAAAGTCAATAATATATATGGGGGTTCTCAATTCTCTTGTACTGTACAAAGAGAAAAAACTGCAATAGAAACATGGCTTTAGAAGCCCTTTCTTCTAACGAACTCTTGAACTTCATTATCTACGACTCCATTTCTGCTACCCCTTATAGCTGCAATGACTCCTCAGACACTACTAGCTTGTTACCTCAAGAAAATGTTGGTGGCTGCTCCTCTATGACACGACCGACCCACCCACCAGTGGCTGTGGAAACCACCCAAAAGCTACCGGATTTGGCCGTGCAAGGCCGCAAGAAGAGAAGGAGAAGACCAAAGGTGTGCAAGAATAAAGAGGAAGCTGAAACTCAAAGAATGACACACATTGCTGTTGAAAGAAATCGTCGTAAACAAATGAACGAGCATCTAGCCGTCTTGCGCTCCCTCATGCCGGAATCTTATGTACAAAGAGTATGATAATTTTCTTAGTGCAAGAATTCGATATCTTATATTAATTTTACAAAATTTCTAGTACAAAATCATGGGAATTTGCACAGTTTATGTCCTATATTTGCATTTTTCTCATCAAGGAGGGCAATTTTTTGGTGGGATGAGAATTTCATTCAGTATGATTCAACTGTAGTTTGATTCCTAAGTTTAGCTCTTACAATTTATCTGTTTGTTTGGACATATATTCTTGTTTTGATTCGTTTGAGGAAAAGCCAAAAATTCCAGCTGTAAGAATAATTATATAACTACAAGGGCAAATTCAGTTTCTCTTGTTAATAGATCTGATATACAGTACTTAAATTAGTTCATAGATTCTTGTGCTCTTCTTCAAGTTCTATTCAAACTCTAATGACATAAAGATTCCATCTTTTCCCCAAATCTTGTTATTATTAAATCTTTTAGCATGTTAACATGATTACTCATTCTTAAATTAACAAAAAAGAAAACCCTAAATAGAAAATTTTATTTTTTATATTTGGCTGCAGGGTGACCAGGCTTCAATTGTTGGTGGTGCAATAGAATTCGTAAAGGACCTCGAGCATGTTTTGCAATCACTCGAAGCTAAGAAGTTTGTACTACAACACGCTGCTACCGCTGAGACAGGAGGTGCAAACGACAACTCGAATGGCTCTAACAAAGTGTTAACAATCAACCCCTTTGCTCAATTTTTCTCACATCCACAATTCAGCTGCTCTAATTCACCCAACAAGTACACATCTCAGAATAAGGCAGCCATTGCAGAAATCGAAGTCACCTTGATTGAAACTCATGCAAACATGCGAATCCTTTCCTGTCGAAGAATTCGACAGCATTCCAAGATTGTTGCTGCCTTTCGGACTATGTTTCTCTCCATACTTCACCTCAATGTCACCACTTTGGACCCACTCGTGCTCTACTCTATCAGTGCAAAGGTATGTCTGTAGGATCATGTCCGTAAATAAAACATACGTACCTTTGCTATTATAATATATGGTGCCCGATGACCTCAGAAAGTGTATAATTTGTTTTCTTAAAAATAACATTGTTACTTATCGAGTTATGTCGTGTATCTAGTCTCCCCACATCATAGAGTATAATACTAACAAAATTCAAACTGTAGACAATGACCACAGAATGCAGAAGAATCTACTTTACACATGCTACACGTACTTCCATACGAACTACTGATTTGACTATATATGTATATAATGTATATGTATATCATAAGGGTATTATGGTACTAAACTTAGGTTAATAATTCACAATTATTTCCATGTGCAATGACCGGCAGAAGATGGTGTCTCTTTCAATATTTATGGCATTTCTATATATAGTTAGGGTTGTCTTTACATGTAAATTAAGGAAATATTCAAAGGTCTATTGGCATTAATTTTTCGAATTCTTGTTGCAGGTGGAAGAAGGTTGCCAACTAAATTCAGCAGATGAAATAGCTGGTGCAGTTCACCACATGTTAAGAATAATTGAGGAGGAAGCTGTCCTATTTTGTCAATCCTAGGTTTATATATCGAATTTTTCTGTCTAATCTTGTTAAATTTCGAGTAGGTCAACTGTAATTTTGTTAAGGACCAATGTAGGACAATTAGCTAGGGGTTCCATCTCTTGCTTTTCTGTTCAAAAACAATTAGAGTTTAAATAATTCGTATAGAAAACCATAAAATCACTACATGATGTGTGAATTTTCGATGCATTGGAGGTCTGATAGTCTAACATCTTGGAGTAAAAAGTCCCTTAACATTTTCTCTCCAAATCTTGCCTAGGATCATTTGCAGAAGAATTGATGTCAGTACAATCAGAGCAGGCAGAATTAAAATGGCAAAAATCGAAAAGTCTGTATAGAAGATGCATATTTACAGCCATACTCCATTGCCGACTGCTATAAAGAAGATATAGGAAATTTTCAATATGATTTCTGGAAATGAGAAATAGTATACACGATTTTAGAGAATATATTTAGCATAATCGTCTTGTTTTGAATCCCTTAGAGATAGCCAGCCATAGATACAATTCAATTGGAGTCAAAATCCCACCTATGCTTTGTTAGTTTTTCGATTTAAAAAAAAAAAAAACAAAATCAAAAAAAATCCTCTAACGGAGTCCAATGGTTTGATTTCTTGGTATGAGCATGTATAGTTTTCTCCTTCGTTTTTTTCTAACAAGTGGCCTGAGAGTCCCTGGTTTTGCTTGGGAGTTATTTACTCTGAATTCTACCAAGTGTACATTTCATGAATTACATTTTTGTGTACATTGTGTGCAAATTCAAAATGTGTTGGGCGAAAAAGTGTATTTTTCTTAAAAATTGTCTAATCATGTGTCGATATGTGGCATGATGTAAAAAATGATGTATAACAATATGTACATGTAGCATGATTGATTTATTATTGGGTATAATGGTGTTGAAAGACGACTGAAGGTTCCTTGTCTACATAGTAAAGATAACTATAGCCAATACAAGATTCGATGGTACCAATAACTTAGTATGTGGCCATATGAGGTGTTAGCCATCCAATATCCGCAAGAGTTAAATTGGTTTGGAAGAAAAACCAAAGAAGATGAATGATGCAGCATGGACAAACATTTAATCGTCGGGCATGCAGTACAATTTTTTTAATTTCTTTCAAAAAAAAAATCTCCTCATGAAACAAAATCTGTGAGCAATGTATGNCAAAAAAAATCCTCTAACGGAGTCCAATGGTTTGATTTCTTGGTATGAGCATGTATAGTTTTCTCCGTTTTTTTCTAACAAGTGGCCTGAGAGTCCCCGGTTTTGCTTGGGAGTTATTTACTCTGAATTCTACCAAGTGTACATTTCATGAATTACATTTTTGTGTGCATTGTGTGCAAATTCAAAATGTGTTGGGCGAAAAAGTGTATTTTTCTTAAAAATTGTCTAATCATGTGTCGATATGTGGCACGATGTAAAAATTGATGTATAACAATATGTACATGTAGCATGATTGATTTATTATTGGGTATAATGGTGTTGAAAGACGACTGAAGGTTCCTCGTCTCCATAGTAAAGATAACTATAGCCAATACAAGATTCGATGGTACCAATAACTTAGTATGTGGCCATATGAGGTGTTAGCCATCCAATATCCGCAAGAGTTAAATTGGTTTGGAAGAAAAACCAAAGAAGATAAATGATGCAGCATGGACAAAAATTTAATTGTCGGGCATGCAGTACAATTTTTTTAATTTCTTTCAAAAAAAAAATCTCCTCATGAAACAAAATCTGTGAGCAATGTATGGAAAGTGCTGGAAGAGATATTTTATATTTATGAAAAAGGCTTGAAAATCGACTCTATTTGAAGAGAACACCGGATTTCTACCAGTATGAATAGGTACCTCTTATCAACGAATTAAAATTTGCACTCATCTACCATCGAATTCCTACCATGGTGAATGGATATTAGACTCATGCTGCACTTACTAAACGTGTCCCAATTAGGCCGAACATTTTAACTGGAATCAAATCTTTCGAACTTCTAAAAAACAAAAAAATAGGAACCAAAACCGATAACGACTGGGTTGGGGTTTATTTTTTGTTCCTGAACCAAAATCGTGGGTATCCTAATAGAACCAATTTTTTAATCTAATTTTTTATTTACAATGTGTAGGTTGGATAAAACAAAAATAGAAAACCTAAAAATCCTAATTTGAGTAGTAATTTGTCTGAAACTCTAGATTCTAAAACTAAGAAATCAAGATTGATTCTTACTGTTTTGCCTCTTGCCTCACATCAGATTGTTACATTCAGAGGTTTATACATATTAATCTTTATAATTTTGACTTCCTATAAATCAAATGTTCAAGTTAGGTTGCAGTGTAAGTTGATGAATTAAAACGTTCATTTTTTGTAATTCGAGCTTTTTACTTTCTTGCATTGTTTACAAACGTAAGTGATTTTATAATTGTTTTATAATGTGTAACAATTGAATTTGATATATCCATAGCTTCTGCTGTGATGTATCTTTTTTATTATCTTGAGTTCGTGGTTCTTTTTTGAAATATAATTTTTCATTTTTGTATTCAAATAAAGAGTTTAGCGTATGGATTGCAATTTCTAAATACTATGTAGTTATGTATCTAATTAGTATGGTTTTTGTCAGTTCATTTTAAGAGTAGTAGAATGTAAGCATTGCTCATAATTAAATTATAGGCTCTAGCATGCCTCATTTATGGACTTCTTGAAGATTCTTAGCTAGATTTTCTTCCTTACACAAATATTGTCGAGTATTAGCGTGCTAAGTATATGTATTTAAAGGGTCTATAGGAAATATATATAAACTATTATGGGTAGAACCGAACCGGAACATGACCGACTGTTTGAATTTAGGTTTTGTTTCAGTAATTAGAAGGACCTGAATAGTTCTACTTATGAAATATTTGAAGTATAATGGATGGTCCCAAGTATTAAAATACTCGGACCGATCCACCTGATGGCCATACCTAGTTCCAATAGGGAATGATTCCTAAACTTTGAAGAACTAAATGGAGGAGTTTATTACAAAGTGAATGACTTCACAGGTAAAATAATTTGGATATGCTCAATCCATTTGAGCAAAGAAGATGGCACAACTAGAATTTTGACAAGGGTAGGCGTGAAACAAATTTAAAGAACCCTATATATCGTCGGAAGCCTTAGAATCTAAAGGTTTCCAATTGACCTCATGGATGAAATTTTGAAGGTTCTATCAGGTTCACTTGCCATGAAAAGCTCAAATTGAAAAACTTTTACTATTTTTAAGATAGTAAAGTTATTGGATTAACGTCTATAATAATTGAAATTTTAACCATGACATCACCAAGCTATGTCATACAAGACTGGGATATCAAGGTTACAAAGCTTCACAGGGATTGACAAAACAAGACTTACTGAAATGTTAAAAGGTTTGCAAGTTAGGATTTTGCGAACATTATGTTCTTGGAAAGCACAAGCGTGATGATTCGTACCACAATCCATCAAACCGAAAGCGTTTTGAATTATGTTTGCTATGATGTTTGGTGACCTAGAACAACTTCATTAGAAGGTATGCACTACTTATAATCTTTATTATTGTTTTCGATAGAAGGTATGTAGTGTATATTATAAAAACTAGAGAGGAGGTGTTTAGATATCTTTCTCCACTGGAAAAAAGATGATTGAGAATGAAATAAGTTGCCAATTAATAGAAGTGCTATGTGTACATAACATTTACACATAGCATTTCTCATAATAGTATCCATAATGGACACATCAATGCCTCTTATTGGGGGGTGCTTGCTGGCCCATTGGGGGGGATCCATGTGTTCTGAACACCTTTATATTATGGGCTATGTATCCATAGCATAACCCATAAATTAAATGGCTCAGAATAGACAACAGTGGTGAATACAGAAGTGACATGGTTTTTTAGGTATGTCAATATGAGGGAAATTATGTGAAAATTCACATATAACAGTACACCACAATAGAATGGGATGGAAGAATGTATGAATCGGATTTTGCTTGAAAATGTTCAATGAATGTTGTAGAATTCTGAGTTGGGCAAAGTAATTTAGGATTTGCTAGTTGTGCGTGTGTTTCATTTTGTTAATCATCTATCATTTTCTGCAATTAATGACAAAACACCAGTGGAGATGTGTTTTCATAAAGAACCATGCTACTTGTACAATGAATTTGACAATAGGTTTGACAATGTGTGAGTTGGCAGGCATTATGTCCATTGATTTGAAAGATTTTTTTTGAATTCAATGGCAATGATCTATACACCTCACACATTGTCAAANCATTCCAAGATTGTTGCTGCCTTTCAAACTTTGTTTCTCTCCATACTTCACCTCAATGTCACCACTTTGGACCCACTCGTTCTCTACTCTATCAGTGCCAAGGTATGTCTGTAGGATCATGCACGCAAGTAAATCATGTCTACCTTGGTAGTATAATGTATGGTGTATTAAAACCTCAAAAAGTTTATCATTTATTGTCTTAAAATAGCATTGTTACAACTTCTATAGCGTATTTAGTCTCCCCACACCTTGAGTATAATACTAACAAAATTCAAACTGTAGACAAGGACCACAGAATGCAGAAAGAATCTACTTTACACATGCTACACGTACTTCCATACGAACTAGAGATTTGACAATATATATGTATATAATATCTGTATATTTACATTATGAGGGTATTATGGGTATTAAACTTAGGTACTAATTCACTATTATTTCCATGTGAAATGATGGACAGAAAATGGTGTTGTTTTCCTATATTTACGTCATTTCTATATATATTTAGGGTTGTCTTTACATGTAAATTTAGGGAATACTCAAAGGTGTATTCGCAATAATTTTGCAAATTCTTGTTGCAGGTGGAAGAAGGTTGCCAACTAAACTCAGCAGATGAAATAGCTGGTGCAGTTCACCACATGTTAAGAATAATTGAGGAGGAAGCTATCCTATGTTGTCAATCCTAGGTTTATATATTGAACTTTTCTATCTAATCTTGTTCAATCT